AAAAACAAGAAAGAAAAAAGAAATGTCTTTGAAAGTAAAATTTTTAAATAGACATATTGGATTTCCATTCATGAAAATTACTTTTTTTTTTTTTTTTGGGCCGGGGCTGGATTTGAACCCTCCACCTCCGGCATATGGAGCCAGCGCCCGACCCTTTTGAACCACAGGTGCCGCCCCTCATGAAAATTACTTTTAAGTATGTCAATTAGGTTCAGCTCCTGTAGCTCTGCGGCTGGGGTACCAGCCACATACACTGGATCTGGTGGGATTGAACCCAGTCTGTGTCTGTCAAATGACAATGACAACTACTACAACAACAGCCAGGCATTGTAGCGGGCACCTGTAGTCCCAGCTACTTGGGAGGATGAGGTAAGAGAATAGCTTAAGCCCAAGGGTTGGAGGTGGCTGTGAGCTGTAACACTATAGCACTCTACGAAGGGTGACATAGACTCTGTCTCAAAAAAAAAAAAACAAAGTTATGTCAATTAAGGAAGTTTGGCAGACATTTGTCTTATATTAGTAAGCCTCTAATCTTCAGTTAATGCTTGGAACAAAATTTCAGAGTCTGTTTGCATCTGCCTTTAAAGTGTGAAATGTACAAAAATGAATGGCTACTTTACCTCTTTTCTTCAAATTTGATAAGTATTCTCCATTTTGAAAAAAACTTAATTGGGACTGTTCTTCCTCTACCAAAATAAGGTAATGCACAGGAATTATCATTTCATAACTGTTTGTAGACTTCTTACATATTACCTGGTTTACATGTTCATTACAATACCCAAACTGATATTTGGAGAGTCATAAATGACATTCTTCTTATCAAGTCTCATGTGAATGCTCCTCTCTTACCCTGGAACTGCTGGTATAATTATTTTATCTAGTAGTCTCTGTAATACTCCATTCGAGTGGTACTCTTTTTATTTCACCAACTGCTTCTTTCTTCAAGGTACTTCCTTTCTCTCTTTTCTCCACCACTCTAAATACAGCCCATTCACAGATATGTGCATGAGATCTTAGAATTTCAAAGTAGTCAGAAAACCCCTGAATTCACATTGACATAACTTTCTAATTTCACAGATAAATAAACTCAAGATGAGAGATTAGAGTTAAAAGTACAATCTAAGATCTCCCCTCACCAAAGTAATTTTTCTTTTCTTATGCTTATTTTAGTACATTTGTTCTTTTCCTACTTTCTAAGGAGGGAATGACAAGGTCCATTCTATCTAGATGCAATGTCCATAAAGTATACATACTCAGAATTACTCCCAAAGCTAGAAAATGTGCAGAATTTTAGTTCTTGAATCCTTTACTCGTCTTTAATATTTTATCATCTCACAGATTCAATTTTAAAAGGATGAAGACAGTTCTTACATACAAATTCAGTCTGTTGCCTAGGCTAGAGTGCAATGGCATCATCACAGCTCACTGCAATCTCACATTCATGGGCTCAGGTGACTTTCCTGTCTTGGCCTCCCAAATGTGTGGGACAGGCTGGGATACAGGACATCATGCCTGTAATCCTAGCATTCTGGGAGACTAAGGTGGGCAGATCACTTGAGCTCACAAGTTTGAAACCAAATGTCTGGAACTCAATGCAAGTGTCACCAAAACTGGCTAATTTTTTATAAAGATTGAGTCTCACTATCAGAAGTCTTCATGTACACACCAAGAAATACAAATTTAGATTCCTATTTTTCTCCCTATTCTTAAAACAAATAGTATACAGGCAGTCCCCAGGTTATGAAGAAGAGAGGTTCTGTAGGTTTGTTCTTAAGTTGAATTTATATGTAAGTTGGGACAGGTACATTTACCTATTACCTATAATAGCCTCTGTTCATAAGTGTGAGTTATACATAAATTTGGATGTTTTTAACTTGGTGACTGAGAACTGCTGCTTCTGTTTTATGGAAGCAGTTATCTTTTGGTGGTTCAAACAGCGCTATAATGAATTATCTTGTTTATGTGCAGGTATTATGAGTTAAATTCTTAGACACAGATTGATTTATTGAGTCAAAGAATAAATTAATACTTATATAACAGATAATCACAAATTGTGCTTCAATAAAAGTGTGCCAATTTGTACCATTTATAAAATTAAGAGTTGCTTTTTGTGATCACTTGTGAAAAAAGTTACCTTATTTATGCCTGAGTCTGAGGGGTCACTAAGAACTATGTTTGAGCTTAAGGAGGTTGCATTTGATAAGACAAATAAACATAATGCTACTAGATAACACAAGTGTCGGATTATAATTTGCTGAGAAATCAGTTCTAGAAGTGTACAAATAATAAGAACTGTCTCCACCCTTTTTTTAACCCTTAATACAGAGATAAATGATAAGACTTAAAGATGAAGCTGCTCATTGCAAAATTTAAAAGTTGTGTCCCAGGACCAGATAAGACAATCTGTAATGTACTAAATAAACACATTGTTAGCAATAATGGAATTATCTTATTATTAGCACAATATACTGTGGTACATTATTTGTGTCAATTATTAACTTGTTAAAGTAACCATTTAAAATGTAGACTAATTTTTTAAACCAAAAAAAAACCTCAAATCATTTTATGAATAAATTAATTTGTGTAAATCTGTTTTAGAATGCATAATAAAGATACAAAGTGATGTTTTATTTAGTAAATCGAAAGAATGGTAAGCCATTAAAAAAATTTAATTATTCCATGTGCCAAAACTTACTCTTTCACACTAAGGATAAGGATATAAATCTTACCAGGAAATGAAGACCAGCTGTGCAATATTATGTCTCCAGATTTCAACTGTCCTTTAAAGTCAAAAACCATTGTATTTACCCACGCTACAGGATAATGCTGTTGAAAAAGATATGATTGCATAAATATGCTAAGAAGGAACTTAAGGTATAAATATGTTTATGCCATTTGTTTAAATATCATTAGTTCTAAAAAGTGCTGTATAATTTCCAAAATAATCACCCAAAAGGAGAATTAAACACACATTTAAAAAAAGTTCAACATCTTTGTAATGATTTAAAAAAAAACCCTAAAAGCCAATTAATGTCCCACAATAAAACAGCACGTCCATAAAATGAAACACTTAACTATACAGCCTTCTAAAATGATGAATTTTTAGTGATTCAAGAAAAAAATGCTATAATATCAGTATACACCTTTATTTACTTATTTTATTTTTTTTAGAGACAGGGTCTCACTCTGTTGCCCAGGCTGAAGTGTAATGGCACAATCACAGCATGCTATATAACTACTGGGCTCAAGTGATCTTCCTGCCTTAGCCTCCCAAGTAGCTAGAACTATAAGCACACATTATACCCAGCTAATTTTTTTTTTTTTTTTTTTTAACAGAGACAAGGTTCTCACTATATTGCCCAGGCTAGTCTCAAACTCCTAGCCTCAAGCAATCCTCCGAAATAGATCTACTTCTAGGCTATGTAGATCTTAATGTGAGAAGAGGTTAAGTCTCTAGGTATAGTAGACTTTATATCTCTAAAAAAGAAGCACTAAGCTAGTAGAACTTTAATGTAGAAATTTAAATAGATTAATGTGGCCACAATGTATCAGAAAGTCTTATAAATAATCAAATACTTTGAAGAGAATTTTATCAGAGGAGAAGAGAGGACTAAGGAACTAGGCCTCCTCTGACTTTTTCACTGAAACTTATTTTTAGATGAATATATGATGAAAACCAGAGGAAATACTTACTTTCCATGTTAAGAATAAAAGAGCACAAAAGCTTGTATATAATAAAAGAACACAACTGCATATAGATAAATACAGAAACTAGGATTTAAAAACATAAATTTTGGCTAGGCACAGTGGCTCCCACCTGTAATCCTAGCACTCTGTGTGGCCCAAGTAGGAGGACTACTTGAGCTCAGAAGTTAGAGACAAGCTTAAGCAAGAGCAAGACCCCATCTCTGCTAAAAATATAAGAAAAAAATATTAGCTGAGTGTTGTGGCAGGCACCTGCAGTCCCAGCTACTCAAGAGGCTGAGACAAAAGGACCACTTAAACCCAGGAGTTTGAGGTTGCTGGGAGGTAGGACGGCACCATGGCACTCTAGCCTAGGGCAACAAGAGTAAAAAAAATATGTTAAATAAAAACAAAAACATTCATGTTCCCATCCCATAAAAAACTTTTAAAAAGTATGAAGAAAATAAAAGCATTTAATTAAAAGTATAAGAGAAAGTAGGAAAACAGACCCATCATCCTATGTCCATAATTTCAAAATCTAAAATGTTCTGAAAACTAAAAGCATGTTCTTAACTGGTATGAAAGCAAAACATGGAGATAATACGAAGTAAAGATAGTCTTTTATTTGTCACATTTAGTGTGAATATCCATGTATTTCACTCCAAATACTAACATGTTTGATTACACGTTTATGCCCAAGACCCAAAAAGGAATACTAAATGAGGTGCTTTCAACGATCATTCTAAATGGACAACTGAATTATCTAACATATGTGACTCCTGGAATTTCACTTAAGAGAATGTAGATCTGTAAATTTTACTTAATTATTTCAACAGTCTTAAAATCATTCCAGTATATGTGTATAAAACAATTTTAAGAAGTCAGTATATTATTACCACTTTTCCAGCTTTCCGAATGGTTTGATATTTAGAAGGATTAATAGTTTTAGTTGATTTCTTCGTTTTTACTTTATCCAAAACTGCATAAACAGCGAAACATAACCGAGCCATTCTTGGCAAGTCACAAGTATTAATATCAAATTCCAGTGGTTCATTCCAAATGTGATCATTTTTCCCTGATATTTCTGAGCTTACAATGGTTTTACATAGGAGTTCGGTACCATGAAAAAGACCGGCCCTGACATGAACCTGTAAGGAAGGAGACAAAAACAAATACAAAATCATAGTACTTATAATGTATGTATTATGATGTACCACTGAAACATCTCTATTTTAGAGAATGAAGAATTACAATGGGAGAAGCAGCACATAAACTTTCAGAAAGCCTAATTGTCTACAGAACTACCAGACTGCAATTAATCAGTATAGTGCTCACTAAGTACAGTTACTTTAACCTATTTTTCACTGACGAAGTAAACCAGCTAGAAAAAAGACATACTGGTCAAAAAGCTAGAGGGCTCAATGGCCTAAAGAAACCAAGACAGTAAGTATAAGCGTATTCTATCATATATTTACCAACTGACTTCATTTACTTAGAGATTTGTCTTACTCTTCTTGCATAGTTAGGACAGAATAGATAAATGAGAGCTTCAAAGTTTCTAGTTAATAAATAATTTATGAATTTGTCATTGTAAGTCAAGAGCCAACTAAAGATACTCTACTCATATCTGTAATTATCCAACACATCACTTTCCATCATTTTTACTAAAGGGCTGGGTCTAGGGTGACGTTAGGCATATGTAAAATGTCCCAGAAAAGTCTACTCATTCATATGTATAGTTCTTAAAAGAAGATATGAACTAATTCTCTCTGATTTAAAAGTGAGTGTCAAAATAAAACTGAAAAAAAACAATAGTGAAACACAGACATTGAACTAACAATATACTTTTAAAGTCAAAAGGTTTTTTTTTTTTTTGCAGTTTTTGGCCGGGGCTGGGTTTGAACCCTCCACCTCTGGTGTATGGGGCCGGCACCCTACTCCTTTGAGCCATAGGTGCCACCCTAAAGTCAAAAGTTTTTATACCAGTTTATTCAGATGTGACGTTAGCACACAATATTACTGAATTAATATTTACTGAATAAATAAAAACATATATAGAATAATTTAGGCTTGACTTTTGTTTTTTTAAAAAGTTAACAATAAAAGCATTTTTGACTTAAAAGTTACTATCCATTAGTACAGTATTTTTTAAAAGATAGGGTCTTGCTCTATTGTCCAGGCTGGAGTGTGCAGTTCCTACAGTCTTGAACTCCTGGGCTCATGAGATTCTCCTGCCTCAGCCTCCCAAGGAGATGAGGCTACAAGTGTTTACCACTAAGCCTGGCTTTTTTTTTTTTTTTGGTAAAGACAGGGATTCATTCTGTTTCACAGGCTGTTCTCAAATTCCTGGCCTCAAGAGATCCTCCTGATTCAGTCTCCCAAAGTGCTGGGACTACAAACATGAGGCATAGCACTGGCCTCTAGCACTATATTTTCAACCAAGGTAGACCACTAGATAAAATTGGAATAAGAGAAGGCATATTAGCATACTCTTCCTTTCTCAGCTTTCTAATTACTTTTAGTCTCTAAATGAAATTTTAGCTATCTATATGAACCACAGAGCCATTATTTTCTCCTAAGTAATTAAAAAACAGCCCCCAAAATCACAATTAAAAGAGGGATTTCAACAAATGCAATCAGTGTAACCTAATTCTTTGTACCCTCAATGAATCTCAAACAATAAAAAAAAACTTTAAAAATAAAAAAGTTAAATTAAAAAAGAAATATCCCCACCATCAAAGTCTGTCTCATTTTCTAGAGAAGTGACGGATTTCACAGTTTTAAATACATTGCCAAACATTTTGCATGACATTATATACACAGCATTTTGTTCCATTCATTTGAACTAAATTCACATAAACTCTCAATTCACTCTGTAGAGCACTGAAATTAATTGACAAAAGTGGTTCTGTAGACATTAAGAAGATGGTTTTCTCAGACAGATTTCGATTTTTTGCTTTTATTTATTTATTAATTTTTTAAGGTACAGTCTCACTACATCACCCTTGATAGAATGCTGTGGCATCACAGCTCACAGCAACCTCAAACTCTTGGGCTTAAGCGATTCTCTTGCCTCAGCCTCCTGAGAAGATGGGACTACAGGGACCTGCCACAACACCCGGCTATTTTTTGTTTGGAGTTATTATTGTTGTTTAGTAGGCCTGGGCTGGGCTCAAACCTGCCAGCCTTGGTGAATGTGGCTGGCGCCCTACTCACTGAGCTATGGTGCCAAGAAGGTGTTGTAAGGCTTAACTAAGACATAAAACTTTTAAGCGCAAAGGTCAACAATAAGTACTCAATAAATGGTATTTAGTATTAGCAAAATTATACAGAAGGTAGGAAATAAGAACACAAAACCACTCCCCTTTCCATCCTGGATTCATAGATTTTCTTTTCCTTCCTAATTTACTTCAAGCCTTCCCTCCCCCTCCCTTCTCCTTCCTTTTCCCTCCTTTCTGGACTACAGTTGTGTTGTATCATTTGTATGAAGGTGTAGGCAATCATATAATGGTTTCACAATAGTATTGAGTACATTGGATACTTTTTCTTCCACTCTTGAGACACTTAACTGAGAAGAATATGTTCCAGCTCCATCCAGTTTCATACGAAATGCTTTACAAATGTGCGTGTCATCCTTGTGCAGGGGCCATGCTAATCTTCTCTGTTATCATTCCAATTTTAGTGTATGTGCTGCTGAAGGGAGCACTCAGTGCCACTTTAAGAATATTAAACAGGAATATAACTGAAACAGTTAAAAGTGAACCATTGTCTTCAGGGTAGATAAAAGCTTAAGTTTAAGATAGGATGTGAAAATAGAGGCAAAGAGGGCAGTGGGGAGGCTACTGCTGTAAGTTGCAGGGAGATAGTAAAGGACTGACTACGGCAGGGTGTGAGAAGATAAGACTGGAAGGAACAGGACGTGATCAACCGATTAGATATGGTAAAGGAGGGGGCAACTCTAGGTGCTCTACCAAATATGAGAGGAAAGGTAACCAAAGGAAGAAGAGAATGAGTTGGAGACTGCTGAATACAAGCTAGCTTTAGATACGTATGTGGAAGGTATAAAAATAGGAGTCTAGGTTAGAGGAAAAGGTTTGGGAATAGCAAAAAGGCAGTGTAGTTTTCGTTTCTGAGACAGAAGACACCATAATTGCTTTCCAAGATATGAAGTGTGAGAGGAAAATCACTAAATGATGCTGAGGCAGAGTCCACATGACTAAAAGCAAGCAACTCATCTGACTTCAGAGTTCCTTGACTTCAAAATCTCCACTGGATTTCCTCTTCTTCCCATTAGCCATACAATCCCTGCATTTGACTTTACCACATCCTAGCACCTCCACACCAGAGTCTTACATTTCACTCTCCAACTACCTCCCCTTCCAACCTACTCAAACACATAGGAAAAGTTTCTTGCCCTCATTAAAGCCTCTATTTCAACAAGTAATACCTTTCTCTCCATTTCTGTCAGCTTTATTTTCACAAAAAGCTGTAAGAAAATCCATTTTCTAAACTTATATTACATGAAATAAAAAATTGTGACATTTCCTGATGCTTGGTCTGAATTACCTTCAATCTTCTGAAAAATTTTCAAGTGCTACCATGCTTTATATAGTCATGTTTTATTATCCAACTTTAGTAAATTTCCAAAGAGACATTTTATTCTGCAAGCACTAGAACTTCTGGAGAGCAAGAGAAGCAAAGCTTTGTCATGTAAAGGTCTTGTCACTGTACTACAGCAAAGACATGCCAAGCCAACAGACTGCATCCCTGTACTCACCAATTAGAATGCTCTGTGTAAGGCAAGATATGAATTGGTTTTACAAGATCAATACTGTAATTTCATTCTTTTTCCACACAATTGCCAAAATCTACCATATTTTTGCTTTCAGATATTAGACACACAAAAAGATCATCCACCTGAATAGGTGGGAATTACCATGCTCATATGAAGTTTACCACTTTGTATCCTTGATTGTTTACAAGGGGAAAATCTGTTTCTTCCACACTTATACATTTCAGATACCAATTCTCCAACTCTCTGGGTACCAAATAAATGTCCTACACTTCAATTCTGATACTTACTACATGGATATAGCACAGACCTCAGGTGAAGGGCCTGGTTCCAAAAGACTAACCTCCACTTCAGAGACAGATCCCAAGTCCCAGGTTATCATCGTACTTCTGATCTTTCCCACAATGCCCTTTTCGGCTTCAATTATTTACTCTAACAGCTCATCAAACTCAGGAAAAATACATTGCCCAGTTTATCATAAAAGATATAAATGAATAGCCAGATGAAAAGGTATACGAGGTATGATCCAGAAGAGTCCCAAGCACAAAATCTTCTGTCTCCATAGAACTGGGACACCCATCCTCTCAGGATGTGGACACATTCACCACCCCCAGAGGCTCTGCAAATCCTATTATCTGGGGGTTTTAATGGAGAATCAAGTAGGCAGGGTTGGTTGAATCACTGGCCACTGATGATTAAGTCAGTTTTTAGTCCCTATTCCTGTCCCCAAGACTGGCGTAGGCTGAAAGTTCCAACCTTTTAGGTACAAGGTTGGTTTCTCTGGCAGCCAGCCCCCATCCTGGCGCTTTCTTGGAGCTTTTCCAGTCATCTCATTAACATACAAAAAGACACTCGGTATTACCAATATCAAGATTTCATGGGTCTCAGAAGTTCTAGTGTTAGGAACTAGGGACTAGATCAAATATTATAGTAAAAGATGTTCCATTTAGCCAGAGCAGTTAGGAAAGAGAAAGAAGTAAAGGGCCATTCAAGTGGAAAGGAAGAAGTCAAACTGTCCTTGTTTATAGTCCATATAATCATATATATAGAAAAACCAAAAGACTAACAAAAAACTCTTGGAACCAACAAAATTCAAGAAAGTTGAAGGATACAAAACTGACATGCAAAAATAAGGATCTTTTCTATATACAAATAAAGAACTAGCTAAAAAATAAAGCTAGGTAGTCCCATTTATATAGCTACAAAAAAAATAAAAATAAAACAGCCAGGAATAAATTTAACCAAGGAGGTAAAAGACTTCTATGAGGAAAACTACAAAGAAACTGAAGAGGATATAAACAAATCAAAACAACTCTAACTCATGGATTAGGAGAATTAATATTATTAAAACGACCCTACTATCCAAACCAATCTACAAGTTAAATACAGTCTGTATCAAAATACCAATGCCATTCTTCACAAAATTAGAAAAAAAATCCTAAAATTTATACAGAACCCAAAAAGCCCCCTAACAGCCAATGCAAATTTGATCTATAAGAACAAAGCTGGAAGCAATACACTACCAGACTTGAAAATATACTACAAATCCATGGTAACCTAAACTGCATAGTAATGGCATAAAAACATACACACAGACCAATGGAACAAAACAGAGAACCCAGAAATTGACATATTTACAGCCATCTGATCTTTGACATAGATGCAGAATCTACATTGGACATTCTCTTCAATAAATGGTGCTGGGAAACTGTACATTCATGTGCAGAAAAGTGAAATTAGATTCCCACCTTTCACCCCTTACACAAACCCTTTGAAATTGACCAAAGACCTAAATGTAAAACTCTAAATTACAAAACTACTAGAAGAAAATGGGAAATACTTTAGTCTGGGAACAGATTTTATGAATAAGATCTCAAAAGCACAGCAATGAAAGCAGAAATAAACAAATGGCATTGAATCAAACTAAAAAGCTTCAACAGAGTGAAAAGACAACTTAAAGAATGGAAGAAAATATCTGCAAACTATTCATCCAACAGGTGACTGATATCCAGAATAGACAAGGAACTTAAACATAAACAGCAAAAATCCAGTTTTAAAAACTGGCAATTAAACAGACATTCCTCAAAAGAAGACATACAAATAGCCAAGAAATTGTGAAAATGTTCAACATCACTCATAATCAAGGAAATGAAGCCAAAACCACAGTGAGATATCATCTCACCCCAGTTAGAATGACTACTATCAAAAAAGACAAAAGTGGCAAACGCTCACAAGGATGTGAGAAAAAGGGAATCCTTATACACTGTCGGGAGGACTGTGAACTAGTACAACCACTACAGAAGACAGAAGGGCAGTTCTTCAAACCACAGAAATAGAACTAATATGACCCAGCAATCCTACAATAGGACATTTATCTAAAGGAAATTATTATATCAAAAGACATCTTGCACCCCGGTGTTTACTGTGGTACTATGCACAACAGACAAGATAAAGAATCAACCTAGGTGTCCAACAACAGATGAAGAAATGTGGTATATCAAATGTGGTATATGTACACAATGGAATTATTATATTCAGACATAAAAAAGAACAAAATCCTGTTATTCACAGCCACCTGGATGAAAATGGAGGACATTAAGTAAAATAAGCCAAAATCTTAAAATCTTAAACACCATGTTTTCACTCATATGTGGAAGCTTTAGGAAAAAAAAGGATGCTGATCTCTCATACACAAAAAACACAACATAGGATGCTAGAGGACAGGAATAGTGGGGAGAAAAGTAGAATAGGGATAGAGTTGTTAAAAGCTACAAAATTACAGCTACATCGGAGTGAGATCTAGTATTCTAGAGCACTGTAGGATATCTTAACAATAATATACAGCTTCAAATAGCTAGGAAGAGGATATTGAATGTTTTCAACATGAAGACAATAAATGTTTGACATGATTGATATGCTAACTATCCTGATCTGATACACTGTAAGTATCACAGTGTCACTATCTATCCCATAAGTATGTATAATTATTATGCATCAATTATAAAAATTTGTACAAGAAAAAAAAAGCAGGAGGAAAAGAAGATGCTCCTATCACTCTGGAAATTGCAAGAGTTTTAGGAGCTCTAAGCCAAGAACCATAAATAATAAACCATAACTTTATTATGTCACAATTTGTAAAGAGGTACATTTGGTCTGGCTTATGGGAGGAATACTACGTGAACTTTATAGAGATCGTATGTTAAATATATTCATTCATTGTACTAATAGTGTTCTAAGCACTGAAATAAGATAAAAATATTAAGATACAGTTTTCTCACATGAGACTTATTTTCAGATTGGGAGTCCTGAGATTCATAATAACCACACTGTGAGACATCATGATGTACAATCAGTAACATATGATATGGGATGACAAGGCTCACAGTCCTCTGAGTTTCTCCTGACTGGGGAACACTGGGCTGCTTCAATTTATATGTTTCCATCTTTTGCCAACTGTGGAAATTTTCTGTATTTCCTTAAATAGTTTTTCTATTTTTTCTTCTCTTTCTAAAAATCAGATTCACATGTTAGACCTACTAGTATTGTCTTGCAGGTTACTGGGACTCTACAGAACTTTTCCACCAATCATTTTTCTCTCCGCTGTGCAAACTGGAAATATTTATTAATTAATCTTTAAAGACTCTTTCAAATTAATCTCAAACAATAAAAAAGGAAAAAAATTTAAAAATACAAATTAAATTAAATTTTAAAAAAATCTTTGTTAACTGATCCTTTCCTTTCTCATCAACACTCTGCTTTTGAGTCCATTCAGAGAGTTATAAAATTTGTTATTACATCTTTTAGTTCTAAATTTTCTATTTGATGCCTCCTTATATCTTCTTGGCTGAGGTTTTCTCCCTTTCCAATTCTATCATATTTCCCTTAGTTATCAGAGCACTTTAATAACTATGTCAAAGTCATTGAAATAATTCCAATACCTGTGTCATCTTGGCACTAACACCTACTATCACTGTCCTTACAACTAGAGAACCTTACATGCCAAGTAATTCTGAATTGTATCCCAGATATTTTGACAATCATATTATGAGATGATGGGTCTTGTTTGTATCCTACAGAGAATGTTGACCTTTTGTTATAAGCAATAGTTAGGCTTAAATTGCAAGTTTCAATGAGCTTTCTGCAAGCTGATGTTCCAATACCAGTTCAATTTTCAAATCTTTTGCAGGGTTATTTGCATCTGTCCTATGTATGTACTACACAGTAACAAGTCTGAGACTTGGGTGGTGGTTTATGCTACAGTTCAGTTCTCAGAGTTAAGAACAGGTTGTTAAGAGCAGATACTCAGATGTAAAGCTCAGGAATAAGCTTATAAATATAAGTAACTTTAAGAAGTTGCTTTCCCAAGCTTCTTCTACTCTGTTATTCTTCCTTGCATATTTTTTTGTAGCCTGTGGCTCCCCTTTATTTCACCCAATCAGAAAGCTGATGCTTTATTCACTTGTACTTCCTGCAATTATGCCAAACACTCAAAGGACATATTCCCTATGGGGCTCTGACTCCTTTAACTGGAGAAGATCTAACTCTCTGAGTTTTATGCTCCTGCCACTACCCCTGCTACCACTGTTATTGCTGTAAGCAATAGTTCTGCTTAGAGAGTAGGGCAAATCTCTATAAAAAATAGAAAAATTAGCCAGGTATGATGGTACATGCTTGTAGTCCCAGCTCAGGAGGCTAAGGCAGGAGGATTTACTTGAGTTCAAGAATTAGAAGCTACAGTAAACTATGATGACACCACTGTACTCTAGTTCAGGCAACAAAACAAAACTCTCCAAATTAAAAAAAAAAAATCAAATTAAAACTCTTCCCACAAGGCAGCACCTGTGGCTCAGTGGGTAGGGCAATAGCCCCATATCCCAAGGGTGGCAGGTTCAAACATGGCCCTGGTCAAACTTCAACAAAAAAATAGCTGGGCGTTATGGTGGATGCCTGTAGTCCCAACTACTCAGGAGGCTGAGACAAGAGATTGCCTAAACCCAGGAGTTGGAGGTTGCTGTGAGCTGTGTGATGCCACAGCACTCTGCCAAGGGTAACAAAGACTCTGTCTCTACAAAAAAAACCTTCCCACAAAAAACCCTCAAGGTTCAGATGGCTTGGAGTAAATTGTATCAAACATTTAAGGAAGAAATAATACCAATCCCATATAAACATGTTCAACAAATAAAGGATAAGTCTTCTCAACTCATTTACAAGGCCAACATTCCCTGGATAATCAAAATCAGAAAAAGGCATTCTAAGTACAGAACAATATTCCTCTCTTTTCTCCATGAGCATAGATATAAAAATCGGTAATAAAATATTAATAAAACAAATTCAGCAATATATAAAAAGACTAATTCATCTTTACAAAGTGGGACTTACTTCAGAAATGCAAGATTGGTTTCAACTTATGAAAATCAACAGATCAAAATATAAAAACCAAATGATCATCTTAAAATATACATAAAAAGTAAATGATAAAAGCAACATTCTTTTGGGATGAAAACTTTCTGCTAACTAAAAGAATTTCTTGAATAAAGGACATTTATGAAAAACCTACAGCTAACATTTTAAAGTTGAAAAGGTTGAAAAGGAAATACCTTTACAAACGAAACCAGGATGTCTACTATGAAGGTTAATTTTATGTGTCAACCTAATTAAACCAGGAACAATACCCAGAATAATGTTAAAACAGATATTTGAGATCCCTGCGGCTTAATCAAATTGAACTGTTTGGTCAAACATTATTATAGGCATTTTTAGATGTGATTTCCATTTTTTCCCAGGAGACCTGATCTCACTTTATTACCCACCCTGCAGTGCAGTGACATGATCACAGCTCACTGCAAACTCAAGGCCTGGGTTCAAGTGATCTCTGCCTCAGTCTCCACAGTAGCCGGGACAAGAGGTGTGAGCCACCAGGACTAGAAGTATGTGTTGCCAGAATTACAGGCATGAACGACTGTGAGCTGTCCCTGGCATGATCAACATTTAAATCAGTAGACCAAGCAAAGCAGACTGCCCTCCCTAATGTGGGCTAGAAATGAAGCATAATTCTTGAGAAAAATAAAGCATGTGTGAAGATTTCTTTGATATTCTTCAGGAAGAAATTAAATAATAATAAAGGGCTGGGCTGTGCCCATGGCTCAGTGGATAGGGTGCTGGCCACATACACCGAGGCCGGTGGGTTTGAACCCGGCCCAGGCCAGCTAAAAACGACAGCTGCAACAACAAAAAAACATAGCTGGGCCTTGTGGCGAGTGTGTGTAGTCCCAGATACTTGGGAGGATGAGGCAAGATAATCACTTAAGCCCAAGAGTTTGAGGTTGCTGTGAGCTGTGATGTGATAGCACTCTACTGAGGGTGACAGCTTGAGACTCTGTCTCAAAAATAAATAAATAGCTATAAAGAATACCAACTACCAAAAAAATTAAGGAACTAATAAATTATCTATAGAAGAAAAACATGATAGCCTCCAATTTAACATAACAAGTAGTAATTCCCGTTTGTTACTATGTAATTCATACATCTAAACATAACAACCAAAATCTCTTGATGCCCACACTCTGTGTGTGTGTGTAGTTGTTGTTTTTTTGAGACAGAGTCTCAAGCTGTTGCCCTCCGTAGAGTGCTGTGACATCACAGCTCACAGCAACCTCAAACTCTTGGGCTTAAGCAATTCTCTTGTTCAGCCTCTGAGTAGCTGGGACGCCACGATGTCTGGCTATTTTTTGGTTGCAGTTGTCATTGTTGTTTGGCAGGCCCAGGCTAGGTTCAAACCCGCCAGCTCCAGCATCCTAGCCACTGAGCTACAAGCACCAAGGACACTCAAAAGGCTTAGCGAGCTTGAATCCCTTATGATGGTAAGGAGATGGGAAGAAGAAACCAGTACCTTTTTTCTTAATAATGTTTGCACCTTTTCACTTGTTGCAATAATGTTATACTTTCGCAATTGAAAAAAATAAAGAAAATTTAAAAGAAAAAATAGAATTACAACTAAAATGAAAAACAGAAGCTAACTGATCACACACATACTTATTAAAAAGAAAAATCTAGCTGAGAATATAATAGCAAAGCTCTTATTTAATGACAACTACACAAAGAATCTTTTCTTTAGTTGCATATATTTAATGTGTACAATACGTTTTAATATACATAGTGAAGCAATTACTACAAATAAATTAACATATCCCTCATTGCACAGTTACTTTTGGCTTTTTACAACAGTACCTGAAATCTATTCCCCCAGCAAATTTTATGTATATACTACCATATTGTTAGCTATAGTCCTCATGTTATACATTAGAGGTCTAGACTTACTCAACCAAAATAACTGCATTGTTGTACCCTTTGACTTCTAGCTCTCCATTTCCCCCAACCTTTAGCCATTGGTAACCAGCCTTCTACTCTCCCCGAAAATCTTTAATATCCATTCACAAAAGCAAGCCAGTGGTAATTTCTAACAAGGGACTCCTAAATATATCCTCATTCTAACAAACATTTCAAACTACCAAATCTTTCTTGGATCACAAAACTATTCACTTCATCTCCTACCCAGTAAAATAGGGAAAATGCATGCTTATACCTTGAGACAAAATGTCTTGTTAGGCCTTTATTTAACTGTATGGGATTGAGCAATGAATCCTCATGTGTTAACAACTTGTGGTCCATAATGTAGTCATCTATTTTCTTTCAAGAAATGGCATTACATTTTCTCTGTGCTCAGCAAGTTTAAAGGAAAAAAAAAAAAAAAAACAAAGAGGAGGCTGAGTGCAGTTCTCAGCAAAGCTGACAGAGGAGAATAAGACTACATAGAAACACGTGATCTATAGTTTGCCTTAAATTTTGCTTGCTGAGCTCCTGATCTAAAATAATTTATTCTACATAATATATGTCACTCTTTACAGTAGATTTCTAATTATTCAAAGATACTTTAAGATAAAAATTCTCAAAGTTTTATAATAAATCGCCATATTCTACCTAACCCATGTTGTTTATCAAGCTAGATAAAATTTAATCTCCAATATGACATTATTGAGCACATCAGCAAGTTATTCAAATAGAGCACATGGCAATGTCAAATCCTAGCAAGTACTCACTTTTACAGTTTCTTCTGTATTAAGTTTATTTCCTTTAACCAAGACAATCTGGAAAGGGTTGTTATTTTCCCAAACATGCTGTAAAAGAATGAAATAAATATAGAGTATTTTAATGAAAAGAATACTCAATTTTAGCAATGAAATTGTCTTAGTTCTATCTATTCACAAAATTATGAAAATAGAGGTCTGAACTAAAAACTAAAATTACATATATTTAAAATTAATTATTATAACCTCTAGCACATGGTTTTCATAGCAACACACAGGCAGTGTTCCACTACTGCTAAGAGAAATCACTCAAATAAAAAGCAGCAACAAATAGCATTTTAAAAGCCTTGTATAAAGTCAGAACTGTTTACAGTTATGTAAACATACAATTTGTAGAAATTGAGTGACTAGCTAAAAAGTGTTAATGGTTCAAATGGAGACAACCTAAGCATTTGCTTTATAAAAATATATTACATTCTGGAAAAATAGTGCCTATCATATATGTTTAATACTAAAAGAATTCAATATCAAGAAGACAAGAAAATTATAACAAAACGTTACCACAGTTTAGGCTGATATAAATGAATGATATCAGTAATTCAAATATTTCTACATATCTAACTTTTCCTTTTTTGAGACAGAGCCTCAAGCTGTCACCCTGGGTAGAGTACTGTGGCATCACAGCTCACAGCAACCTCCAACTCCTGGGCTCAAGCAATTCTCCTGCCTCCGCCTCCCAAGTAGCTGGGACTACAGGCATCTGCCACAACGTCTGGCTATTTTTTGATTGCAGCCGGTCATTGGTGTTCCGTGGGCCAGGGCTGGATTCGAACCCATCAGCTCAGGTGTATGTGGCTGGCACCTCAGCCTCTTGAGCTACAGGTGCCAAGCCCATATATAACTTTTCTACTAGAATATCTTAAATTGCTAATTGAAATCTTGTGTTTAAAGGCTAATCTCTAAGTTAATGGTATTTTTCTTTGGTTCCAAAAGAGCACCAAAAATGTAAATGTCACATTTACATTTATTTGTTCTCTGAATAAGGAAAAAGAAAACTAGCTAGAAAGATAATTTGTAAATAGTAACATATTTTTGGCAAATATGCATTAGGTTTTTTTTTTTTTTTGGGCTAGGGGTGGGTTTGAACCCACTACCTCTGGCATATGGGGCCTGTGCCCTACCCTTTTGAGCCACAGGTGCCGCCTATGCATTAGGTTTTACAGAAGAAGTGAGCAAAGGAAATAAGTGTGAGACTTAAGTATACTACTTAACAAAACCACATGCCTTTGGGGGTTAACAAAGGTTCACACATGAAACTTACAGAAATAATTCGCGTTTTCTTTGGTGGTAAGGGAAGAGGAAGGTTAGATGACTTTCGATTTATGGCAGCCTCTATGGCAATCATTTCCTGTTCATACATTTTCTTGATTTTGCAGCATTCCACAAGTATAAAGTGGGGTAGGGTCCTGTTCATTACACAATTCCGGATATACTACAGTTCCAAGAAAGAGGAAGATAGAAATTTTGAGGCAAACACTTAAATCTGTAGTATAAAATTAAGCTGAACAACCCTATAACAAATGCACTGTTAAAGTATATGTTAAACAACTAAATATCAAGAATATGAGAATTTAAAATCACAACACAAAAATAAATTATCATTAATTGAACATCTAAGTACCTAAGAACTGGGCTAGACACGTCTTATGTGTTATAGCTAACCTCTATAACATTCTAGAAGAAAGATTATCCTGCATCTAACAAATTAAATGAATGAAACTCAGATAAATTAAGTTATACATCTAGTATTTATAAGGACATGGATTTAAATCCACTTTTGGACACTAAAATCATACTTCCACTCCTCAAGCAGAAAGAGTGAAAACGGGGTTCACATGTGGCAGATTCACTCTATTCTGGAGTTCTCTAAGGCGGCCCCTTTACAGGATACAGCTCTAGGCAAGCATTACCAACTGTCTCCCCAGGAAACCTACTGCCCATCCTACCTTGATATTCTGTCTTATTTCTATGAAACTAGGATGACTATTTAGAGCAGGCGTCCTCAAACTGCAACCTGTGGGCCACATGCGGCCTGCCTAGGACATTTATCTGGCCTGCCAGGTGTTTTTGCTGCCGCTGCCTGTCCTGCTTAGCAGTCGACTTGTCCTGGGGCCCACAGTCTGGCCCTCCAATGGTCTGAGGGACAGTGAACTGGCCCCCTGATTAAAGAGTTTGAGGACCCCTGATCTAGAGGCATACAAGAAAAGGGATGTTTAGTCATATTACCAAAGATTCCTAACAAACTGAATAGGAATCCAATGTATTCCTCAAAAGAATAAATTTCCTATATAGATCCAAAGTGTGACTCAGGCCGGATGCAGTAGCTCATACCTACAAACTAAGGGTCTCAAACTTTTTAAATAGGGGGCCAATTCACTGTCCCTCAGACCGCTGGCGGACCAGACTGCGGGCCCCAGGACAAGTCAGCTGCTAAGCAGGACAGGCACCGGCGGCAAAAACACCTGCAAGCCAGATAAATGTCCTAGGCAGGCTGCATGTGGCCCACAGGCCGTAGTTTGAGGACACCTGCTAAACCTTTCACTCCAGGACCTGGCTCAGGAGGTTAGATGCATGAGCTCAGGAGTTCAAGATCAGCCCAAGCAGGAGCAAGACCTCATCTCTACTACAAATAGAAAAACTAGTCAGGCATTGTAGTAGTGGGGACCTATAATAACAGCTACTCAGGAGGCTGAAGCAAGAAGATAGCTTGAGGTTTCTGTGACCTATGACGCCACAGCACTCTACCCAGAGAGACAGAGTAAGACTCTGTCTCAAAAAACAAAACAAAACAAAACAAAAAGGCCAGGCACAGTGGCTCATGCCTGTAATACTAGCACTCTGGGAGGCTGAGGCAGGTGGATAGTTTGAGTTCACAAGTTTGAGACCAGCCTAAGCAAAAAGCAAGACCCCATCTCTACTAAAAAATAAAGAAACTGAGGCAAGAGGATCATGTGAGCCCAAGAGTTGGAGGCTGTTGTGAGCTATGATGCCATGACACTCTACCCAGGGCAATAGCTTGAGATTCTGTCTCAAAAACAAAACAAAACAAAACCCCCAAAAGTGTGAAGTACTATAATTCATCACTGTACTGTAATTCAGTGATTCAGTTCAGAACCACTAAAACTATCTTTTCAAATAAAAAAGCATTTATAGAATGACCTCATAGTGGGAGCTGTATGATATTATTAACATGATAAATATATTCATTCATATATTTTTCTTTTCTTTTTTTTTGTTTCAAGACAGAGTCTCACTATGTTGCCCTTGGTAGAATGCCATGGTGTCACAGCTCACAGCAACCTCAGACTCCTGGGCTCAAGCAATTCTCTGGTCTCAGCCTCCCAAGTAGCTGGGACTATAGGACCAAAACACTGGCTATTTTTTTTGTTGCATTTGTCATTGTCGTTTAGCTGGCCCGGGCTAGGTTTGAACCTGCCAGCCTGGGTGTATGTGGCTGGCACTGTAACCACTGTGCTACGGCCACCAAGCCCATTCAAAAAATTTTCACTATGAAAGGTCCATTTCTCGGACGGTGCCTGTGGCTCAGTGGGTATACTGAGGCCCTATATGCCAAAGGTGGCGGGTTCAAACCTGGCCCTGGCCAACTGTAACAAAAAATAACCGGGCATTGTGGCGGGCGCCTGCAGTCCCAACTACTCGGGAGGCTGAGGCAAGAGAATCGCCTAAGTTCAAGAGCTGGGGGTTGCTGTGAGCTGTGATGCCACAGCACTCTACTGAGGGTGACAAAATAAGACTCT